ACCAGACACAAACCTTCATCATTTATCACCAGACACAAACCTTCATCTGAAGCAGAAGCTTACAGTGAGAGTAGACTCGTTATCATCCTGTCATCACATCAGCACTTTGCTAAAGGTGCCAATGCACAAGCATCACATCACTCTGTTTCCGTTTTGAGTTTTGTTGCGTAATTCATCCCACAGCTTTGGAAAAACGGCACCAAATAGTCGCGCTCTATGACTTTTGGTGGCAGCATTTCATACGGTGCAGATAAAATTGGCAAAAATCAGCAAAACGTGTCCAAATAAAAATATAGGATTTTTTTTTCTCCTAACATGAGTAGAACTCTCCTTGGAGCTCAGACAAACTTCACAGTAGAAACATTGTTCCAAATTAAAACGGGTCCTAATATTCTGTCTAAACGTTACCATATTTTTGCCGACAGTTGTGTTCCCACACACATTGCACATCTTAGACAATTAGTGCATCAAAACGTACGTATTTATGCGTTTCTCACTTCTGGAGGACTTGTTCTCTCAAACTAGCTCAAAGCAGAAAGTGTTCAGGTTTTAACTTGACGCATCTCCTACATGAAACAATGTAGACACATAAAAGTTGAACCCGACCCTCCTACCACTTATGGTTTAAAGATTTATAGTTTTCACAGACTGTTTCAGGCTTGCTTCCTACTTGTTTCTGTCTGCCTTGCTTTTTAAGACGGTGTTCTGTCCATTCTGCATACATGTCAGAGTTGCATACGTGTAGTTAATAAGCATTCTGCAAGAGGCCCGCGACATTTAGAGGAGCCATCCGTTTATCATACACTACAAGATCTTACACAAGATATGAAAAAAAAAAGCAAGTCAGTAAATTGTTTTGGGGTATTATTGTGTATTTATACAATTTTTAGTGAGCAATGCATTTTCTGGACCATAAGTAAATTGTTTTGGTGTACACGTGGTATTATTGCGTATTTACACAACTTGCAGAGCGCGCACGTGCGTATTCTGCAAGAGGACTGCTTAAAGGAGGAGCCATCAGTTCATTGTAAACCCATTAATAACCAAGTATATGATGATCTGACAGGTTAACTGCTAAGTCATTAGCTTTTTTCATTCAACCTTTATTTAGACAGGTTTTTAATAAAGAGTGCTGACAGGTAATCTGACAGGTAATCTGTTATGCCATGGTGTCATACAGCTGATTTAGTTACATAGAGCATATGGCGATCTGATAACATATGCTGACCAAACAGATACAGCAGTCAGTTTGTGCTACGCGTATGATGATCTGACAATGTATGCAGAACGGACAGAACAATGTCTGTCAGGGAGTGATAGACACAGGAACGGGGTTGCCGTGGTGACCCAATAAATCACTGGCGACAGCTTTAACATTCCTCTTGATCATGGTTCTCTTTCCCCTTTTTATACAGTTTATTCATGGAAACACTTTCATTAGCGTCGAGCTTGTTACCAAATCGTTGGAATCTTGGTGCGTTTGCACCGTTCAGATTCTTCTAGTTCGTCGGTTCATTGCTTTGAGAGTCAGCTGACACGCGCGAGGCTCATCTATTGTTTCTTTTCATTGTTTTTGTGGCTTCTCAGGATTGATTCCAGCTCGTTCCTCATCCTCTTTTGTTTACCTCCCTTCGGTCATTCTTTGATGAAAAGATTTCTTCATGTCGTTCCCTTTGATGCGCGCACGAGCAGGCACGGCGCTTTCATTTGATCAGACGGGCCTGAAAGAGCCACTGGCTGCAGGGCTTTGCTTTCAGCACCTCATTTTAGCTCCTCGGCTCCGGTGGTGGGTGGTGTGGAAGCAATAACGAGAAGAAACCGGCACAAATATCGCACACTTCCAGCGATCTATACAAACAAAACTGTGCGGCCAAAAGATGAAAACCAGTGAGGAGAAAACATATAAAACACGGTACCAACCTCTGTAATAATAACACCAGGCTGTCTTTCACATGAAAGAATATCACTTCAATATCTGCTTCATCATCTGGTCTGGCGCTGGATGCTTTCTGCTGTTTATCTGAGAGCGCTGGCCTCCATCATAACACTGATATCACTTGCTACATCTTCTAACTTGATATTAAAAACTGAAAACATTTATAAAACCCGTGCACACAAAGCAGAGTGCCAAGTCTCCTCGTTACAAACCTTCATTCACATTTATACAGGAAAAAAAAAACCTTTCTGTATCTTTCTGTTTCCCTCGGTAACCTGGACACCATCTTTCCCAGTGGGCTGGTTGGTATTCTAGGGAGTAGCTGGTTGCCATGGAGACACAGGAATAAGGAAATGCAAATGTCAACTGTCCTAAGTTGGCGCAGTTTGTTCTGTAAGACCCGGCCGAGACGAGGAGTTAAAAAGCAGGCGAGGTGGTTGGTGGAGCATATTTTAAAGAGGAGCTGCTGTTACAAACTCCTCTGTAACTTTGCTCTTCCTGCAGCCTCACGCCTCACCCTGTGCCACGTTCACGTAACTGACTTCCTTCTCGCTTTTTCTTTGGCAATCCGTCCTAATACACGTCGCCCTTTTCCCACTCAGGAGCACTTCACCCCGGAGTGCAAGTTCAAGGAGTCGGTGTTTGAGAACTATTACGTCACCTACTCGTCCATGATGTACCGGCAGCAGAACTCAGGCCGGGCATGGTACCTGGGACTCAACAAGGAGGGGGCAATCATGAAGGGGAACCACGTCAAGAAGAACAAGGCTGCAGCACACTTCCTACCCAAACCACTCAAAGGTAGGAACGAAACGAGACACAAAAATGAGCTGCGAAAGAGCGCAGGTAAAAATTCATTTGTATTGAAAGGGGTTAATGTTTGTGCCCGTGTGTGTGTGTTTGTGTGTATCTGAACCAGACACACCACATACATTTTAATGAAACTTTAAAAAGCAATCAGTAGATATACACGAGCCCCCCCCCCCCCCCCCCCACACACACACAGTAAGTGAAATTCTGCGAAGTAGCAACATTATATTTATTTTATTATTTATATATATTTTAAGGCTTTAGAAACTCCTCCCCACACTCTTGCAATGTTCTAAACTTTTAAACCTACATCATTTAACAACATACGTACAGTACTGTGTATGTAGCTACTAAATTTTAATTACCAGGCTTTGCAGAACAGCAGCGGATCTTCGGTGGCGCGTCCCCGCATGGAAGCTCTGTGGGCCGGCTAGAAGCTCCCGGGTTCAGGGTCCAGTTCTGTCCAGCCAATCAGTGCCCGGCTTACACAGCACAATGCTCCGTTTCTTAAAGAACATGATTTCTTTCTGTGAATCTTTAATTTTCTTAAAGGAACTTGTCCAAGTGACAGGATTCAAATCTTACATTTGAAAAGCCGGTTCGACAGAAAGCAGTGGCCAGAGGCAGCACAGTATATTCTTATGGGCAGTGTAGTTCTTATGAGTGGTGATTACTGTCGGCTGATTGAAAGAAAACTACAAAAAGGCAGCGCCTGTCTGAATTTTTTAAAATTTTTAAAAAACTTTTTCCCAACCATGTGAGTACAGTAAATTACTGTAAAGTTGACAATCACGTGTCATGTACTGCACTGTCCAATTATTATTATTATTATTTTTAATATTTAATGTGCGTTGACAAACCACGATATAGCGAGTCTGCGAAAGTCGAACCGTGAAGTAGCGAGGGACTACTGTACCTCAACAACTGATTACTTTTGGAGTCAGTTCAGTTGAAGATGGCTGCCACAGCTAATCCTAATTAGTCAACACAATATGGCTACAACACACCCACTTTAACAGATACTGAGCTACAGTTTGATGTGGTAGTAGCTGATAGTCATTCACACCACATATTCAGAGTGTAAAATATTGTGATGTTGCATGCCATCACCCAAAACGTTGTTTTCATGATTTTCATTAAAACGACTGCTCAGCATGAGATGAGTTCAGTGTAAAACTCTGCCATGAAAAGAGGCAGGTGATGTGCTGCTCTGTATGGACTAACAGGCCTTTAATCAACACGTGAAAATGTGACTTTTACATGTCACTGAGGCAAAATATGAAGTTTTTCAAACTTTAATGAGCTGTCACTGCATTATAAAACACCTTCAAGGAAGTTACTCAACAGTGTGGTTAAAAAATAACATTGATTTTTTTCCTCCTTATTTGTCTCTAAAGAAAGGTGAAGAGAAACTGACAGTGCTATGTAAAACTGAATAAGATTTATCTTGCAAGTCGAACACACACAAAGAAATGGTTAAACAAAATGAGATGAACAGAAACTCCAAAAAGATAAAAATCCATCACGCCTAAAGAAAAGTCAAAGGTCACAATGAGACGTCACAGATATGAAAGTGATAATTATTGTGATTCAGTGATAAATGACCACTGGACAAGAAGCCCAGACGACGACAGCCATTTTCTTGATGGTAAATTCACTGAGGCTTGGGACAATTTTATTCTTCCATGACAGGGGTGCCACTAAGGGGAGGCCAGTGGGGAGCAATGACCACCTTAAAATATTTGTGGCTCCCCCACTGTCTCCCTTTGGTCAAACTGTTTTATCCTTGAGAGTCCAAAGCTTTTGTTTGGTGTACATTTTTAATTTCTTCTTGCTATTTAGGGTTAATAAAACCTCCCAAACATAAAACCTAATAAAAAAATAAAACCTTGTTTTAACATAAAACATGCACACACACATATATATATATTTACATACATATATTTTCAGGGGGGGAACTAGATTTTAAGAGTTAAAAAGGAAAAAACAACTTAAGATTCTTAAAATGTAGTTCGCCCCTGAAAAAGAACAATGCTGTCAGATGTTTGTTGTTCATGACGGTGCTGTTTTGACTTCTGATTCCCAATTTTGTACATTTATCATATACATTTATAACATATTTTATTCAAGCAAAAAGCAAAAACAAAATTTTTACAAATAATTATAAGTAGTTCTGGCTTGGAACTTGATAAAGCAGTTTTTTTTCCCAAGTCAAAGCTGTACTTTAGACTTTTTCTTTTTTTAGGGAAAAGCACGAAAGAGCTGATGTAAGGACAACTTACTATGTGTATGTAAAGATACAGAACATAAAAACTGGACTGTTGTGGAACTCTAAATATTATCAGCTCTGTCCTCTGCACATCACAGATCAATAATATCACAAGTACAATAAGAAACTGAGCTACGTCACTTTGTAATTCCTTAACCAAAGTTTTCAATTTGCCATTTAATAACAACATAATAGAATTTCTGATTTTTATTTACTTTTTTTTTTTTTTTTTATGATTTTGGTTTTGGAGTGCCACCCCAGAACTTTCAGTGGCCCCCACAAAGTTGCCCTTTAAAATTTTTTCACGAGGCACCACTGTTTCATAAATCAAAATCTTAAAGTTGTAACTTAATCCATTTAAAAATGATGATATAAATAAAAAAAAAATCATTGTTTATGAAAAGTATCATACAGTATACGGAATAAAAAAGCTGAACTTTATTTATTATTATTTTTTTCTTTAAACAGCACATAGTTTCTTTGCATTGAGCCTCACCGGCCTAATAATCCAAGAAGATTTAATTATTCCACAGATTACCTGGTGTTATTTATTAAATGTTTAACTATAGTCACAGTGCTAACAAACATGGCAAAGAACATAATACACGTATAAGCAACGTGATTTGTTTCAAATAAACTTTGATCCTCTGAGTTAGAGAGGGATGTGAATCATCGCACGTCTGATCCTAAATATTGAAGAATCTCCTCTGGAATAATCTGCTTATTCTGACAAACTGGGTCAAGTTAGTTTTGTGTGAATTTATTGAAACATTAGCAGATTAATATAAAAACTGCTTCATTTAGTCAGATCTTTGCACAGAGTTTCAGTTTTCTTTTTCTTTGATGTGGTTCAACTGAGGAATTTCAAACGACAAATTAAAACGCCGCCGCTTAACGTTTAAAGTTTTGTTTTAATAGAAAGACGTTGCGTATCGCTCGCTGCTTGTCACTAGAGTTTTACACTAAGATCATGTGTCATATGTTCTGTGAACGACTCTCAGCTACTACCACATCAAAGCGTAGCTCCATATTTGTACATAGTGACAGAGTTGTAGCCATTTGTGTGTTGTTGGATGTTCATTAGTTTTTTTAAATTGTGCTGACTCCCAAAGATAATCAGATGTAGACGTACAGCCAGTTTCTCTTCTGCAAGTTTCATTAAAATTCATCCAGTGGTTCACGAGAAACTTTGGTAACACACACACACACACACACACACACACACATTATCACCGTTCTGCAGTGCGGTATAATTAATACACAAACACGCATCATGCCTTTGGGGCATTTTTAACATGTCCATGTGATCAGGTGATCACATTTAAAAAAGCAGCAGGTAATTTGAAAGCCTTTCAAAGTTTGTTTTTTGGGACTTTATTGAGTTTTTTTATTCCTTTTTGTTCAGCATTGATCATTTAAAAATGGTTAATTTGTTCAAGTACTTATATTAACATCAACAAGGGGGTATACAAAGACATTAGCTCAATGTTTGGCACCCGGTTGATGATCAGCTGAAGGGTGATGCATCTCAGGTGCATGCTGGAGATTAATCCATTTCCTAAAGACGTGACTTTCAGACATCGTCTTCCAGTTCATCGAGTTTTTGACTCGCACTCGACACGTCGTCTTGTTCGGGAACAAACCTAAAGAGAAAACGAGGCAAATCGGCGTCGTATCAACAAGAACTGTTGTTCCATTATCTGAACGCAGTTCCCTGAAAACAGCAGACCGCTGAACAGAAAAGCTGCCGCTGACAGCTCCTCAGAACAAAGGAAGCCCAGCAGACAGCGGTTAGCATCTGTCAGTTCATTGCTGCGCTCGTCTGATTTGCAACGTGGCTGATTTAGCTCGACGCCTGCGTCTGTGTGCAGCGGGCAGCAGCTTCTAATGGAAGGCCTCTGAAAACCCGCCCGACTTGGACAAAGCGGCAGCTGCACAAAGTTAGCTCCAGAGTGATTTATTTCCCACAGGGATAAGGAAAGAGGCAGACAAAGCTGAGAGGGAGAGTGGATATTGGATTTAAACTCATTAAACGGACGCAAACACGAGTCGAAACAAACTAAGGCTGCGCACGTGTAACTGAGCAACTGTTTACTAATTGATCCCCCGTTTAATGAAACCGTGCTTCCCTTGTTAATTTCTTATATTATGGCAATTAACGCCAGGGGGTTGTAATGCAATGCTCTCAGAGGCACTGAGTGATATAAATCAGATGAAAATCAGAGATTAAACACGCCGCTTGTGCTCGAGTCTAACCGCACTCACCGTGCACGTGTGGATACGTGTAAAGTGAAGTGTAAAGTGCTCGGAGTGGTCGATGAGACTTGAAAAAAGCTTATGCAAATGCAGTGCATTTATGATGTCAAACCTGAGTGGTTCTGTAACTGAATTAATTATTCATGTGTGTGTGTGTGTGTGT